CAGCGCCCCACTCTTAAGGAATACAGAACGGCGACGCTAGCAACTTTGTTACTTAGGTTGGAATAAATTGAGACCCCCCCTAAATGAAAAAAAAATCACTGGCTCCATGGGCATCGCGCTTGCAGCAACAGGTGGAGGTTGTCCAGGCATCCCGATGCGCAAACAGCGGAAAATAGGTCGAGGCGTTTGTCGTAAGTTAGGCATGCGTAGTTCTCGTGAAGCCAGATCTTGAAGGCGTGTGGGGGAATGGGGTCGCGGAAATGGACGAGCCTAGGCCCCTGTGTTCGGAACTCTGAGCTGATCAGCCTTACAGTGACAGCTCTTTCATTTGGGCTGAAGAAGTGAAATATCTTGAATAGCAATTCCCTTGGAAGGGTTAGCATGACAGGATGTTCGCTTGCCATTTCGACGACGTTGCCAGTAGGAATGTTGGTCAGGCGACTGCACCGACCTATATATATTGTCAGTAGCCATATGAGATTTATTATAAATCATATAAGTATAGAAACACAACGGCCGATGTACGCCGGATGGCGCCCTGTGGCGGTTGCTGATCCAAAAACCTGATACTCTGTTATGGGTTACTGCTCTGAATTATTACCCTTCCTTCGCCAAACCACTATACAAAGCTTCGACAAGCTGAAACACCCGCAAGAACATGATCGCAGAGCAACTGCCATGAATAATCGAAGCCTATAATTCCAGGATAAGGAACATGGGCACAAGCATTTGTATACACTCAACCTCTATAAGCATCAGCGTGATATGTGGTGCAAGAACGTCGTTACAAGGATCGCGGTTTTGCAGCGGTTTGCACCATGTTTACCGGTATCACTGCTATCGGGCTATGGGTTCATCATTACGAGTTGAATTTTAATTTCTGAAGCCATGGCAAATGCTGCAACTTATTGTGATCTGTTGGCATTCTCAGTTGAACCAGCTGTACAATTTGAACCAACTTCAGCTCTGGCCCACCGTGATATTGGCCAGCTCTGGCCCACAGTGATTAGTAAGAGTGTTATAGCTTCACCTGTGGCCATTAGCCCAGCAGTCTCTACTTTTCTCCTCTTAAATCGGGACACCCCCATCCTTTTCACCCCTGCCGACCTCTGCGAAGTCAGTGATTTTTTTCGGGCTCATTCAGCACCCACCACCACCAGTATCCAGTGGATTCTACCGAAACAACGGTGGCGTCCTCCAACTCAACTCTTGGTCGGCTCGTAGGTCACTACGATAACCGAGTCCATCAACATCCATCGGCATGGAGCCGCATCCAACTTCTAACGGTCGAGGGATTTTTAGCCCGCTAATTGTCGGGATCGATCCTAACACCTTCCACGGACACTACGCCGCACCACAATGGCGGCAGCTGAGACCTTTAAAGTGAGCACGTGCAAGCGTCACGTTCCAAACGTTCTGTACATGTAGTAGCGTACATGCAGGATTGATTTGCATCCACCCAAGTCAATAACCCAATGACTCTCATTTCCCCCTTCCCTTTTTTGTTTTACGGTGCGACTCCGCACACCCGAGCGATTTTGCTGCCTACATGCCCGAACCTGCATCTGGCTTCGTAAGATCCACAGCTGCGTCCAAGGCCCAGCGGCACTGCCTGGACCCGCCCGCTACAACAAGACGCGACGCTGTGCTGCCCTGAGCAACCCTGATGAGCAGCGGCTCCCAGACGTCCGCAACCGTGGCCACGGAACACCACCACCACCACCAGGGCACCACCACGCCACGCCACCAGGCCGCCTTGAGCTCCGGGTATCAACAACTATCCAGGCCGGCCTGATTAAGGACGCCGACCATGGACCTTGGCAAGCGCGTCCCTCCCCCATTCGTCAGCGACACCGCTACCGCACGTCCGTCCGTGTCTATATTACAGCGCGGGCTTTGCTGCTGCCCCCATCCCCATCCGCACCCATCGGCAAAAGGACCAAAATCCGAAGCTCACGTCCGTTCCAACGTGGGCAGCCGGTGCTAGGCAAAATGTGACCCATCGCTAGGCAAAATTGTAGTTGGCCACCTATGATGCCCGGTAGGCTGTCAGTTGGCTGTCGGTTCCTAGGTCGCCGTGATCAGTCAGTCAATGGGCCAGTCAGTTGTACACCCGTCCTTTACTCTGTGGAGCTGAGGGCAGTCCAACTCCACACAGCCACAGGATCACATGCCTTCCAACACGCCTCTACTCCCGTCCCTAACCCACCCACTACAACCCACTACCCATGACAATCCACCTGGCCCCCGCTCCTCTCGTGGCGAAAAACAGACATATCTTTGGGTGGCAAGATAGGCTCTTTTCACCCTCCATCCCGCAAATGGGATGGGGACATGCGTTCAACACTTCAGGTCACAGCAACACAACACATCACATCACGCCATAGCACAACTCGAACCCCTAGGGAAAGCGGGCCTGTGGCTGCCAGCACAGCCAAAGTGTCAAAGAGCCAGTCGGATTCCACGAACCAAGCGGTTAAGAAGGAAAGCGAAAAGGCTGCAACCATTGCGTGGGGGCTGTGAGAGGTGAAGGGTGTTGTGAGAGGATCTAACTAATAGGCCAGTAGTGAGGTTTGCCGGGGGTGAGGTGAGGCAAAAAGGTTTGCGCGATAGCAGGTGCGTAGGGGTTATCGCTGCTGCTGGTATTGATTGGTCGGGTCGTACTGCCAATTGGGTGCCGTGACCTGCTTGACTTCTGGAGGAAGCGGCAGGCCCGGTTTGACGATGATGTCTGGCAGAGGAACATCGTTGTAGAGCTTGGCGAGTTCTGCCACGCGGTCCTGGGGGGGCGGCTGCGCGTAGCTGGATGTCCGGGACTGGATGGCGAGCGTGACGCCGTTCAAGTCGACATGTCCCGGTGCTCTCCCAGCATGTTCACTGAAGACTTCGGCGTCGAGGAGGATGTCGGTGGTGTACTTGTACATGAAGTCCATGAGCTGGTTGACGACGCGGGGTTCAAAGTCATCGACGCCCATGGACCGAAGCAACTGGTGGATGGTGGAAACATCCTGAGGTTGGGAACTGTCTTCCCCTATGCTGCCAGCTCGGGAGGCATCCATCGCGTTACAGGCGGCAGCGGGGACCCGTTCGAGGCGCCTACCCGCTTCGCCTAGGATAGGCCTATAAGATTCGTGGTAAAAAGAACTTAACCCCAGTAATTAATTTAATGAACAAGGAGTCCGACCTCTCCCGACTCCGCTCAGGGTTCCAACCGTATATTCAGGCCTAAACGAGTGACGGTAAGATACTAATGAACTGATTATTACTCAGCTAGACAATTTGGTTAGCAGAGGGAAACTTCAGAAATCGTCCTGTAATGCTAACAGACATCGTACATTGGTGACCTGCGAACATATGCAGCCCGGACTTCTTGACCAGTTACGCTTGCATGATATTTGAAACGCTACAAAATGGCATCGGAGGCAGCTGTGGAAGCTGTGGGAGGGGCGGTAGGGGCTACAATTTCTCTCGCAGCCACGTACCCTCTTGCGATTGTATCGACATGGCAGGCGCTGGAGCATTCTCAGGGGGTAGAGCTTGCAACAGACGAGCTGCGTCAGAAGTACGCCTTCCTCCCGTCACCGCTGCGGGAGTTGGCAATTGTGAGTCCTCGAGTTGAGGTTTTAAGGCTGGTTGCACGCATATGAGCTAGGTTACCCAGGTTGAGTAACGCCCCTGCGCTCCGTTATGGAGTGCAAAGGTGAACAGTGTTTTCGGTTTTCCAGCTCATGTGCGGTTCCCGACGTGGGCTTTGGTGCGTTGTATCCACTACGCTTCCACTCACCTTTCATCAACAACTGCGTTTGCAGTACTCAGAGTCGCGTGGCTGGCGCTCGCTTTTTGCCGGACTGCAGCCGTGCCTAGCGGCAACAGCGATATCGCAAGCGGTTTACTTCTACCTTTACTCCGCCCTTCGACAAGCCATAGTGGTGAGTTGTTTCCTTGCCAATTTATCAGCTTACGGGTATGATTGGAATAATAACGTTAACGCAGTTATAAAGCGACTTGGTAAACGAGCGCAAAACCTTTCCCCCTGGGCCTCCGTAACCATTTCTCGCTGACTGAGCTCGTTCACTTTTGTAACAAAACTGCTGTGGGCCCATGCAACCCCCCTTTTTTGTCCTCCCGACCTGCAACTCCAACCAGTTCCATAAGTTAATCGCGCACTGTATGAACCACCGTACTTAGCAAAACACCGCGCACGGGATGCAGGCCCATAAAAGAGCGATTGGCGCCTCGCGGACTGGGGCCTTAGCGTCCGGTGGCGCGTCCGCTGACAGCGGCAGTAGCCGCACTGAGGCGATTGGCGTCGTGGGCTCCTTGGTTGTAGCTGGTCTGGCGGGCTGCGGCAATGTGCTGGCCACAACACCAGTATGGGTGGTGGCGACACAGATGCAGGCCCTGCAGCGGCAGACCACCGCGGAGCAGCGCAATCGTACGGCCTGGCAAATTGCCGTACAGCTGTACAAAGAGTCGGGCATTACGGGATTTTGGAAGGTGCGTAGGACACGTTCTTCCACGCTCATCCAAGCGTTTTCTGTGTAGTGGTGCTGGTTATGGTGGTTATGGTGGTTGGAAAGGTCATGTTGATGGTGATTGTGATGCCGGCTCGGACAGGCCGCCAAACCCCGCCAAGAAAATCCGCCTCGGCCCGGGCCTGATGTGATGTCGTGAGCTCTTCTCTTTGTGTTGCCGTTCTTGATGCTGCAATACATGTAGCAGCAGGCTAGAGACAGGCTTTCGCATCCTTAAGACGGCCATCCTTATCAATACTATCGCCAACTCCTGCAACCGGATCTGTATTTTGCCGCAGTACGGTCCATGTTATCCATGGGCCTTATGCTGCCGCATTTTCCCTCCCATCTCCCCACGAAATCCCGTTTCCCCACGCAATACCCAATATACCAATCGGTCCATCCGCGATGTGAAGCAGCCACCCTCTCCGTTCATATGTCCTCGGGCCATTACCCCTATAAACCCCCATTTCCCCGCCCCGCTGCGGCCCCCCGCCCTCCCCTCCGCCCTGGGCGGGGTTTGGTGATTGATTTTCAGGGGGTCCTGCCAGGGTTGGTAATGGTTGCAAATCCTACACTGCAGTACATTTTGTACGAGTGGCTCACGGCCAAGTTGTTGCAACTGCGGCGCGGAAGCGCCGCCTCCAAGGCACTGGGGTGAGTACTACACACCATCCATCCCACACACCGCGTCCGCGTTGGAACGCTCCGAGGAAGCTCCAGCAGAGCCAGCTCCCGCAGAAAGCCCGCTTTCTGCTCCAGGGGAACCGCGATCAGGCTGCCCAGGAGGGGCCCCCTGACTGCCCCTCCTAGCTGTGGCAAAAGAAAGCGGCACGGATGTAAATGGCCAGGACGTGCCATACATAGCTGGGAGTAGTGATGAAGCTTCTGGTGGTCTTTGGTTGGCGTCGGTTAGAGGTTGATGTTGCAGTGATTCGTAGGCTCCCGCAGTCGCGTCAGTCACGTGTATCACGTGCTTGGCGTTCCAGCTTCCGCTTGGAGTAGTAGACGAGGGAGGGCTGTCCGTGGTGGATGAGGACGAGGGCGGACAGTCCTCGGACCCCGGAAAGAGCCTCCCTCCCACCCGCCCTCACGGCGAGGCGAGGCGAGGAGTGTGCTTGTGCAAAGCCCTCTTGGAATCCAAACTATAATCCAGGAAGGTTTTGTTCTTTTGCATGTTTCCTTGTGTGCCTCCATGTCGCGCTAGGCGTTACTGGCATGAAGTGCGTGTAATGGCTTGTGGATGAGTGAGTGTGTAAGGCAGGGTTGTTGCCTTTTCCCAATCTTCGTTAAACCCGAATCTTCGTTAAACCCTATGAAGGAAACCCGGGTCAACGCCGCGGCTGGGCACCGGCGACGTATTCCTGCTGACGGCCCTGGCCAAGTTGGGTGCAACATTGGTGACCTACCCCATGCTGTTGATCAAGAGCAGGCTTCAGGTAGTGGGCTTGGGGGGGAAAGACGAACCACACTGGGCTTGGGGGGGGGGGGAATAACAAGGGACCGGTGGGCCGGAGTTTGTCCAAGGGGGGGAGATTGCGCGCTGCATAACCCCTTTTTGACGTGTATATGTGGCGGCAGCGTTGGCTCTCATTGACAACTGGTGATAGCCTGCATGGCTGTTGTGGGGACCGGTAGATGCTCTGAGGCTCCTCTGCCGCACCACCTGCTGCTGGCCACACGTGGTATTGAACTGCCCCGATTTCATTTTGTGAAGGAAGGTAAAAAAACCTTCGTGCCACCCACGTCCAAGCCTTTCCAATGTGTTGCCCTTTCCTTCCTTTTTTTGCTGAGAGCATGCTCGCTCAGCACTAGGTGCTGTTTGTGTTATGCCATGTTGTGTCTGAAGCCTGACATCGTAGTCTTACGTCGTACTTGTACGATTGTGGTACGTGCAGGCGATGAACAGCAGCACCGCGCACGAGGCACGGTATTCCGGGGTACTGGATGCCGGGGTGGCCATTCTTAGGCGGGAGGGCCTGGCGGCGTTTTTTAAGGTAAGGAAACGCTAAAATCCCTCCCCTCCCATCACTCGGGGGAAAGTATGGCGCGGCGTGAGAAGCGGTAGCCGTGCGGGTGCACACACACACACACAGAGACACAGAGGCACACATACGAGGTTAGTTCTGGACCTCCTTTCCCGGCATGGCATCTTCACGTGGGCTTCAATCTTGTGTCGGCAACCCACGGCATCAATTTTTCTTGTCAACTACAATGATGTACAACAGGGCATGCGGCTCAAGATGCTTCAGACTGTTCTGGCGGCGGCGCTGCTAATGTCCATAAAGGAGCAGGTCTACCAATCGACAAAGGCGGTAATGGGCAGCTTGGCGTCCGTACGGGGTGTGACGGTGGCAGCGGCGGCGGCGGCGGCGGAAGCCAACAGGGGGTAAGAAGTTCGATGAGAAGTTCGTTGAATAATGTGAAGAGGTGTATTGCGAGATCCACGCGAATCTGCATCCCCGGTGGCTGTTAACCCTCCTACGCTTGGGCACCCCGCCGCTGCTGCAGTCGACAACCGCCGTTGGCCTTTGCAGTATTTTAAAGGGCAGAGATAGGCAGGTAGTGGTGAGGATTTAGAGGATTTTTGTAACCCCGGGTTGCGTGCACTGGGCCTGGATTGGACCGGGCTTGGACTCTGCACTGCACAGCCCTAGCAGGGGCGCTAGGTGCTTTGGAGTTGGGTGCTGGGGGGGGGTTGGCGTTTCAGGGACGGCTGGGTGCTGATCTGCTCGCGTAGTGATGGCGCGGACAGAGGCCAGACAGTGACAGCCGCGGGCTGTGGCGTGTATGTGCACATCCAGGTGATGCAGCAGAGCGGTATAGCGGCGGGTGGGCCTTTCCCCCCAACCCCCGAAAGGAATGCACAGGGCGCAGCGACGACAACAGCGCAGGCGCCGACTCGTGTCCCTTCCGCGATATGCAACAAAGAACCGAGTCCGTACAGCCTTTCGGCCAAGTAGAGCGTTTTTGAGTGGTGGATTGCGACGCGATACGGGCTGTCATCGCTGCTGCTGGTGCTGCTGGCGTGTGTCTGTATGTGTGGAAATTTGCGAAAGTGGGTTGACAGGACGTGGGGCAGGTGGGACAAAGGGCCCAAGGAATCTTCGCACGGGGTCAACAATCTGAACTGAAACTGCAGCCCTATTGGCGAGGCTTTTACGGCTCGGGCTTGATGCCTTGGCAAGTGATGGCTAACTCTTAGCTGTGTAATATGTTTTGGATGCCAAGTTGGTTGTGAAGTTCTGCTCTGTTTAGCATTTTTAAATTGGTTGTGCGGACGTGCACAAACGCAGTGTGCGCCTTTTCTTCAGCTCTGCACGTTGAGGGCATATTCCTCGGTGACCGGAGAGGAGGGATTGTGAGAGGAAAGGTGGGATTGGGTGGGGTAGGGTGTAGTGAATTGGTTAGCCTTAAAACCTTTTAATGTGGTGTCGCATCTGTATGGGTGTTTTTCGTGAACAGTTGGACACGTGTTCAGGCATTTGGTTTCATCGCACCTTGTGCGAAGCACCACCACTTTCATGAGCGCAGCGCATGCGGCAACACTTTATGAAGGGGAACTTTAGTGTTCTTCTTCCCCAAACATAAAAAACCGCCTGGGGTGTGCGGCCTAGCGCGCGCGTTGCCTGTTTGTTGAAACTTTTGGACTGGACTGGGCACTGGTGCGCTTTTTAGTTATGTGTACTCGTGTTCAGGGATCCATAACTTTTAGCGGCTCAAAAGGAGCTGTTGGTGGTTTAGTAAACGAGAGCGGTACAGGCTTTTTATGCCTACTTGCATTGAGCGGGCCTGTCCCGAAAGGTGAAGTGCTTTTGGGGCCTTTGGGGTTTCTCCTCAGGACGGACGTTGTGACATTGTGTGCGGCTCGGCGGACAGCAGGAGAGCGTGTGGTGTATATCGTGGTAGGTGGCACGGCTGATGTCAGTAGACCCAACATGTTGCGGACGGCGGTAATAAGGCGCATGACGGAGATTTACATCCCCCTGTTTCGCTATTCGCTACAGGGTTGTTAAGTCGCTTGGAAGGTGAAGAGGGTTTAAGTCAGACGCCCGGTGAACATTCTGACCTAGAGCAATTAGCAGGAATTAGAAATTGGGAATTATGCCTTATCTAGCTCCTCAAGTTGTACCTTGGCCAAAGCACGCCCAACCTCTACTACCGCATCACGCCCCGAGTACCGCTCAGCGTCATTCTCTAGCGCATCCCACCACCGCGCCGGCACCCACTCCCGCCCGTGTAGAGCCCCCACCAGGGCACCTACGACCTGAGCTGTTGCGGGCGCCTGACCCCCCAACGACGCCGCCACCATGACCGCCTGCTCGGGCTTTCCCCAATTCGTCAGGAACACCATCAGCGCCACCGCCGCAAACTCGCTCGCAGCTGTCGCATACCCATGGAACGACAGCAGGCTCAGCATCCGCGTCAGTGCATGCCACTGCGGACCGGCGTAGAAAGACCGCCAGCTGGTGATAGGGTCCACCTGAAAAAAAAAAGATCGCCAAGGTGCCTTTTATTCCAGCACGCAAGAGGAAACGCGTGGGCCGCAAACGGCTGTCGCGTTAGATGTGTTGTTCAAAGTGGGCTCTACGAAGTGGGCTCCCGAGGACACCGGCTTTGAAACACCTTCTGGGTCCTACTGGAGTGGCGCGTTTTGCATATTTCTCAAGTTCAAATGTCTTCCTAACCGAAAAGGCAATTGTTTACGTTGAAAATTAAAACGAATGTATGAAAAGAGGCCCTCCGTGTTTGCGCAACTACTCTCCGGCCAAATGTGAAGGAGTCTTCACACTACACACGACCCAAATCGATCCACATCACCCAAGAGTCCCTTCCTTCCCAGGAAAGCGCGACCTAAGCGAATCAGCTCTTAAAAAACAAACGACGGTGAGAACCTAGCTCCGGCAGTTACCCAACCAACCCCAACCACCCAGACCTTTGACCTCTCACTCCCTACACCTTACCTGGAACAGATGATCACGCAGCAACCGCAGCTTGCCCGCCATGTCAGCCGTCACGGCAACATCGTTGATCAGGTATGTCAGCAGGGCTTCGGGCCGGCAGCCCACAGCATCCTCGGGCTGCTGCCGCGCCGCCCAGGCCGCCGCCGCCGCAACGACATGCGCTCCGTCCAGCCCCAGCGGCGTGGGGTGGGAGAACAGCACGGAGCGCCGCACGGCCGACAACAGTCGCTCTCCCCCTGCAGACCTGCACCAGGCCCAAAACACGCGCCACGTGGTACGGCACAAAACACGTCAGACATGCGACACGCTGTGGTAAACACGACACGGCATAGCATGGCCAACGGTACAACACGACAATCACACGACACAGCAAGTGCTGTAAAATAATATTGAGCCACGGCAGCGGAGCAGTGTGATGTCAGCAAAGTGCGACGAACACTGCTGTTGGCGATTTTCCAGCCAACGTGTACATGTACGGTTAGGACATTTCACGGGAAACTCTTCCGAATTACGCCAATTCACCCCTCCGGCGAGATTTTACACGTCCCTAGGAACAAGCTCCGGAACATAATCCCTTCCTCCTCGACCGCCCAAAAGCTCCGTTGACACTAGCACTTGGCTAAATACTGGATCTCTAACAACACAATCTACAAAAACACAAGGTTCCACTACTACAACAACCAGTGCCGCCTAGCGAAACGCAGGAAAAACAGCACACCAGACGCGCCTCTCAGGAAACCAGCTGCGTCCCTTAAACTCCACAAAAGCGCCGAAGAAACCCCGGCCGGAATCCCGCTCACCCTCGTCCCTAACCCATCGACACCCCTGGCCCACGCTTCAACAATGCGGGGTACCTGTACGCGAAGCCAATGGGAGCCGCCCTCGCCGCCGCACAGAAGTCCGTGGGGCCGTGTGGCTCCCGCTCTGAACGGTCGCTGCTGGTGGTGGCCAGCCGCCGGGTGGTTTCCGCCAGGTACCGCTCCGCCAGCTCCGGAACCTGCAGCGGCTGCGAACCCGCCATTACGGCATCCATAACGACCTTGTCGTAGGTACTGTAGCGCCGCACGCCTGGCTGGTAGCTGCCGGCCAGAGTGCTCAACACGGCGTCCGTGTCGACGCCGCGGCTCTCCACCAAGGACCTGGCCACAGCCAGCAGGTTGGCAAAGTCACCTGAAAAGCGGGTCACGGGCAGATGGGCGGTTGGAGCTGAAATGGGGATGCTGGCAGACTGGCAAGGCTTAGTAGGTTGATATCTGTGTTCTGCGGATATTTTTGAGGACATTGCGGCAGATTGCAGCTGTGCTGGAAGTGTGGACACAGCCGCGTGTGCGTGTATGTCTGAGCATGTGTGTGCGTGCGTGTGTGCGTGTGTGCGTATGTGTGTGTAATGTGCACGTGTGCTTGAGTTTTGTGTCCACGTGGGCTATGAAAAGTTTTCAACCCTCCTTCCCCTTCGAACAAACTTTTTCCTCTACGCAACGGAAAACCCGCAGCTCCTGATGGATGGCATTCGGGCGGACCGAACGGCCTGGCCGACGACCTCTTGCAACATCACAGGGTGCGGCCGCACGCCCCTGCCACTTGTGCTAGCGAAATTAGAGATCCAGAAGATCCCAAAAAGTCCGATACGGTTGATAACGCTCGTTTACCTGTGTACTGCCCGTAGGACACGGGTCGCGCCCCGATGTCGTAGCGCCAAAAGTCAGTGACGCCGCTGGGCCGGTACCGTACGACATGGAAGTGCCGGTCGTCCTGGTACGGCGCCGCCAGCACGTTGCCGCACATGGCGCCGATGAGGCCGCCCACTGCCTTGGATTCGTCCGAGATGTGGGACGGTGGGTGGGCGTCTGCAGCTGGGGACGATGACGGTGAGGATGGGTAGGCTGCTGCCGCTGCCACCAGGAAAGGCGCTGCCGCGCCCGCGTATTGCCGCCGGTTGGGCGCCCGCTGTCTTCTAGCCAGGTCTAGCGCAGGGCAGGCCTGGTGAGCACGGCTACTGACATGGAACATTGCAATTTGGCTGGTGCTAGCGGCGACTGGGATTGCGTTGACAGCCACAGCGCTGCAGCAGGTTTTGGAAGCCGCAGGGTGCCAGGGCTCTGCTGCTGCGGGAGCAGCGAGGGGTTGTGCCGAAGGGCATCGCCGCGAGGGGCCTGCATTGAGCACCCAGAAATCGGCTTAGTTGTGCCAGCTGCGCTTAGGGGGACATTCGTTGGAATCTAGGTTGCGCTGCTCATGCTATGATGGATGTACGCACGCAAAAAGGGTAAACAGGACATCCCAAACGACCCAAAAGACACATATGCTCGTATTTGCGTAATTCAATCGGGTGCGATTCAATTATGTAGTTTGGTGGTGCAGCTGCCTAGGCTCCTCTCACAAACCAGCGGCGGCGACAGAGCTGTGATTCCAAGCCTTGTGCCTTTGACATGAAATAGGACATCAGTTCATAAAGCAAGATGATTAAGTTGCGATGCTTAGAAAAAAGTATGGTTGACTCTCCAACCTTGCTGCGATGGCCAGTAGACAGAGCGCCCCTGAGCCGCACTGCCTCCAACGCCTTGTAACGTTGAAGAGGAGACGCGCTGCATTCCTTCGGTCCTTATAAAAATAAGCCTTAGAGCTTAGGAGCAACACGGAGCTGTCACGAGCGCCCCATCCCACACAATTGAAACTACCGTAGTGTCGTCGTTACAAGCGTTGACAGGGAAGACCCAGCTTTCTGTACCGAATCCACTGCGATCAAGAAATCAACAAAAAATATGAGGCCAAGTAACTTCCCAAAACATGTACGGCTACTTCCTGCCGGTGTACGCCACACAGTAATCGCACGGAAATTCGCATACAGCACTTTGGAAGCAGTTATTAGGCCTTGCCAGCACCTTTCACGCAAAGCAAACAAACTGGGCATCTCGACCTCAAGTCTCTGCCTTTCAGGGTAGTATCCTTTTCCGGAACCTGGCACCGCCACTAGGCAACGGAACGCATTTCCGCCTGTTGAACAGCTAACTGTCAGTCTTTCCCCTCGGTCGACGGCGCCGGAGGAAGCGAATCAGCTCCTCCAGCTCCTCCTCATTCGGCAACTCAGCCGAGCCCGGCCCCGTCTTCACCCCTTCGGGCTCAGCCGACGGCGCCGTCGCTGACACTGTCGACTGCATATCGTACGGTTGTCGTACGGCATCCCTTGCGACTGCATTCGAAGAAGCAGCGCTTTCATGCCAACTTGACCACAGTGAACCCGATGCCGAGCCCGACGTGCCGCCATCTGACGTGGAAGTCGCCACCACCGCCACTGCTGAAGCCCCCACCGCCGCCGCCGCCGGGGCGCCGTACGGCAGCGACTCAGCTCCCATACTGCGCGTACCCGTTTTTTGCAGGCCATGTTCGTCGCCGCCCAATAGCGGTTCCCCCCAATTTTCTCCCATTGCGCTTTGGCCGATTTGCAAAGACGCTGGCTCTGCGACTTCCTGCCGGCGCCGATGCGACGGGCGGCGCGAGTACGACGGTGGCGGCGGCGCCGACGCCGGCAGCGGCCATGGCACATCTTCCGCCAGCCACAGCAACGGTGTGACCCACCTGCCCGCTGCATCGCTGGGCCCGGGTGCAGCGGTCGCCGCCGCTGCGCCTGTTGTTGCCGTTAGCGGCGGCCTGGCTGCACCCATTGCCGTGGCTGCTTCCGCCGCCGCGCCTGCTCCCCCACGCCGCCGCGGAAGTACAACACCTGGTGACGTAAGGGCAGCCGTACCTGCGGCCGCGGCCGCGGCAGCGGACGCTGGCTGCCGCAGCGCCCGTAGAACGGCATCCACCGCGGCTTTGATCTCCGCCACGCCGCCGCCGTCCTCCGCCACCGCCGCCAGCACAACCGCCACCGGCGCATAGCCGCCAACGGCATGCACCTGCCGTACAACATCCGCCGCTGCCGCTATGCATTCCTGACGTTGCCAGCCAGAAACTTCATCACCCGCCTCGTTCCCGTTCGCATCCCTCCTACTCCCCCCCACCACCTCCATCTCCACCTCCACGCCCGTTGCTTCTCCCTGACTGCCTTGGCCAACCTCTCCAGGCTCTTCCCCGATTTCGGTTTCGGAGCAGAGCCCAGATCTGGTCTCCTTACGTACCCTAAGCACGTCTTTATTGGAGCTTTCCGAGCCGGGCCCGGTGCCAGCACCAGCACCATGCAGGTAGCGACATCGGCCTATCAACCCCCAGGGAACCGAAACCAACGGGCACGGCTGTCTTAACAGGACGGATGCTTGTGGTGATTGTGGCGGTTGTGGCGGCGGTGGTGGTGTTGGTGGTAGTGTCGCTGCGGCGGTGGCGGCGGAGTTCTCCCGGGCAGGCCGCCATGCGCCGTCGGGAAAGAAAGGCGGCAGCGGCGGGGAGGAGGATGACGATGATGACGGCACCGGGTCCTGCGGTACAGCCTGTGATGATGGTAATGACGGCCTTGGTTGCGATGGCTGCCGTACAGCATCGGCGGCGGTGGCGCCGGTGCCGACGGTGGCGTGGCAAGTGGGCAGCTGAGCCGCATCGGGTCGCTCAAGTGTGACATCCTTGAAGAGCCGTCGACTAGGGCGACGATGTGGCCATGGCCCCGCCATTGGCGGGCACATGCTACCACCGCCGACATTACCCCCCGCATTGCTGTCGCCGCCGTCATCGGCGTCGCCGTCGCCGCTGTTACCACCGTCGCCGCCGTAAGACCTGCCGCCCGTGTTAACTTGCAACCGAGACTGGTCATCCGGTTGATCGCTGCCATCGCCGTCGTCGTTGTCGTCGTCAGCGTCGCAGCTGTGCCCGCCGTACACCTGGCATTGCTGCCGCTGATGCTGCTTATCATTGTCATTACGGTCGTTGCCATCGCTCTCGTGCGGCATCTCCATTTCGTCATACAAGTCCTCGTCCTCCTCCCCTTCCTCCTCCGCAGTCTCGGAATCAAACGCGTGTTGAGCCAACCGCTCAGCACTCTGGCCAGACGCTGAGGTCGAGGCGGCG